CCTACTATACATAAACAGTATTGGATATTTAAAGAACTGTAAAGGCCACTGCATCTCCTATGCTGATGACACTACTTTAGTTTTTTCTGCGAAAACATGGGATGGGGTTTTCAGAGACACAAATTACGGAGTAGAACAAGTTACAAAATGGCTAGACCAAAACTTATTGAGCTTGAATGTTAAGAAAACCAAATATATAGCATTTTCACTAACAGCAAATGATCAGCCAGTAGGAAAAAATACTATTTTAGTTCACGAAAATAATTGCCAAAATCAAGAAACATGCAACTGTCCTGAAATAGAAAAATGTGACAATATAAAGTACTTAGGTGTCATGATAGACCAACACTTGAGATGGGAGAAGCATACTATTCTATTGACTAGCAGACTCAGGCAGCTGACTCGAAAAATGTACACACTGAGAGCTATTTTAAATAACAAAACTCTTAGGATAATCTATTATTCTTTGGCTGAATCTATACTGCGGTATTGTATCAAAGCATGGGGAGGTGTTTTCCGAAATAATTTAATACAACTCCAGTCTATGCAAAACAAACTTTTGAAAATAATATTAAAAAAAAACAGACTTCATTCAACTGTACAGTTATATAAACAACTAGATATACTTGATGTTAGAAGCCTATATGCCTATCAATGCCTAGAATGGATGTTTCAAAATGCAAATCGTTTTAATCAGCCATTGGAGGTCATAAAAAAAAATACCAGAGCAATGCAAAATCTCACCCTCAATACACCATTATTCAGAAAAAGCCACACTCAAAGGTATATCTACTATTTCGGACCTAAACTATATAATCTCTTACCACCCGAAATGAAAACAATAACAAATTTCAATAAATACAAAAAACAAATTGAAAACTTCGTCCAAATAAATTCAACTCTAATCTACAAAACATTACATTAATTGATTCTCTTTTAGTACTCACCAAATCTCACGAATATGTCATTCATCAAAATTCTAAGCAAATAACCTAATATATTCGCTAATTATACTACAATCGCCAAATATGAAAGTTGTACAATTAGAATGCTTCTTGCGGATTAAAGACTAGTACAACACAAGCATGCAGCATGCTTAGGTGCAGTCTTATGATCCAAAAGAAACACCAAGATTTGTAATATGTTATCAATATTATCTGTACACTTTATTTTCTGAATAAATTGAAATTGAAAGTGATTTGTTCTTGACTTACTTGAAGTGAGTCTGCCTTTGAAAAATTCCACTCCACTTTGAGCAATGTGGACTTCTACCAAAGATTATATATCTTTCAGTGTTCTACCCACCCTAGCAAAGGCCCCTGTTTTTCTTTTTTAGATCTTTTAGATCTGCTGTCAAAATTAATGAACACAAATCTGGACCACTATGTATGACAGCCATTTTAGTAGCTGAATTAGTACGATGTTGAAATCGAAAACTATATACTATTGACAATAATTCATATTGTGATTTGCACTATATACAGATTCTCATATAGGTATCTTATCTTTCGACAACCAACACTTGTCTTCTTATATTGTGAACATAAGGTATCTGCCTGTGAATAGCCTCCTGAATTTCAATGGCGACCTTTTTGGCCTTCTCTCATGTTTTCTTTCATGTTCTGACCCCGATCACTTACCATTCTATGCCCCTACATCCTCTTGAATTCATTGCTGACTGAACTACAAACACCTTCTCATTTATGAATGTTTTATTCAATTCCCACTGCACCCTTAGATACATTTTTATTTTCAGAGATCGTTTATCCCCATGTTCACCGTTAAAAGTGGCTTTTTATGTATCAAAATTGCTGAGGAGTATACCTACCTTTTTATTACACGATATAATGTTTCACCTAAACATTTTAAGTCTGGTATAAAAATTCGATAAAACATGAATCTCTAATGAATTAACTCAAATATGTGCTGTTGGAAAATATTTAGTTCCATAATTAAATATTGTTTCTGAGAGGAGAGGGATGGACCAGTATAGGGTATAGTGATAGTGAGTTGATGCTGTCAAGTCGAATGTCTTCTCGATTATGATTGATTACTTCGCGATGGTCAAGTATCTATATTTGTCTCACCAGTAAACTTATCGCGTATGATTGATCCTCTCATCAATGTCAACTGTTGGCTAGAATATTCCATTCCCCACCAAATTGTGGGATATATACTTGGTATTAATTTGTCTACTTATAAACTAACCTGACTCACCGTCAGATTAGTCGAATTACAAAACAATCGGGTAATGTTGACTTTTTTCTACAAGCGTGCGTGATTCACCCAATTTTTGTTATCGCTATATATCGCTACTTCAAAGTTAGGAAGAAACATTCCAGAAGTCGAAACTTGTGCTGGGTTATGAAGAGCAGGACCTACAGCTTATAGTGGATCCGAACTTCTAGGGCAACGAGGTGCTGCAGTAGTGCGAGAAAAGTTTCCCCACACTAGTGCGGGAAATTTTTTCCCACAATAGTGCGGAAAAAAACATTTATTTAATATTCTCGCAAAATATTAGTGGTGGGTGACACGATATGAAAATTCCAGGTTTTTTTGTTGCAGTATTCAGTAAGTTTGTACAAAATCATTCATCAAATTGCACTATTTATTGTGAAAATGAAGAAATATTGAAAAATGATAATTGATTGTTATATAAAACCCCCTATAGCCTTCAATTGATCTGATGTGGGAAACAATTGTTGTCACGTCATTCAACACAAATTAGTTAGTGTAATTCTCAGAGTGACAGACAGAGCGTTACTGTCATTTTCGATTCAGTGGTATTGCGATGAAAAACTTCCAGCTAATAGATGCGATACAGATGAGTTATTGCTAACGAAGTCTTAAGAAAGGTGGGGAGAAAGAAGCACTACACGGGATTTATTGAATGGTGCAATAGTAAAAAAGTGAAAACATCAAATAAAGAAGAAGTATGTTTGGATCATTTCCTAGAAATGTCTGAAACCTATAGAGGCCAAACACCATGGGAATGGGTATATGGCTTCCGCAATAAGCTTATATACCTACATAATGCTTCAAACGGTACACACAATAGATATATCAGTAATTATTAGAAGATAGAGAATATATTACCATTGTTAGTTGTTCCTATCTGCAGGAATAATTGATTGAACAAATCAATTTCCTACGCTTGTAGAACAAATATTGTTCGCAACTCATGCGGAAAGTGTTTTTCCCGCACTCGACTGCTTGCCCGAACTACGCTTCTCGTCGTTCGGGTCAACGGTATTCGCGTGCGGAAAGTATCACTTTCCGCACCTGTTACGAAAGTTGATATTTACCCTAAATTCAAATTTATCTGGGGTTTGCTTCAGCGGTTACACCTCATTATTGTAATTTCCTATTTTGAAATCAAGCTAGATCTAAATTACCTACTCCTCACGTAAATCATTTTCATCTGCTTTAATATACTCATTTCTGAAAAACATACAAAGATTTCAGAGACAAGTTACATTTGATTTTTTTTATGATGTTGAAAATACATTCAAAAATCTAATATCACAGCACTAGAGCACTGAACAATGACATGAGAAGAAAAATCTACATGAATGCAAACTGAAACCAATAACTGCTGCAATTTTTTTAACTCTTGGAGCGCACGAAAGGGATTCCCTATTATGTTCGTACCTAGGGAGGATAGGGAAAGAAGGTACAAGTATTGTTTTTTTTTGAAATTTTCCAGATCATAAATTTTTGAGAATACTTCCTCTGGCAAGAAATCCAAAGCTTTGTCATTCTATAGACAAAAGAGGTTTGATTAGGAGTTGTTTGACATATCTCGAGTCTCGAGGTAAACGACCAAGGAATGTGCCGACCGGACTTGTCAAGTACGCTTGACTGATATTGCTAGTGCATGTTCGAATGATAGATATTTCAGAAGAGCATTTTCCGTGAAAGTATATCTAGAAAAGTGAGAGGTCGCCGACTCTCCTACGCTGTTACAATGATGTTAAGGAGCTAGTGAGTGTAGCATCACCATGATAGCATCACCAACAAGGCGTATCTGCTAAACCCCATCTGTGGGAACAGTATTTCAAAACAGGTCGAATCTGTGCTTTGTAGATCATGAGGAGTTGTTGACATGCAAAGTAGAATTTCGCTCGGAATAAAAATTCGAGTCCTGATGTTAGTGGGAATGGGGATAGCAGCATACGAAGAAAATAATCATATTATTTATAACGAATAGAACCATATTTCACTTCCAGTCCGCTGATTATGATCTATAAGGCACATATCCGTCCTGCCCTGGAATACCTTTCCCATACTTGGAGTGCAGCACCCAAACATACCCTTCAAAAAAGGGCAATTCGTCTCGTGGGTGATGCCTCGCTCACAAACTCACTCACTTCTTTGGAACACCGTAGAAAATTTGGCGATCTGGCTCTATGCTCTTCTGAAATATCAACAATTGTTCCTCCCTTGGCAGTCCCCGCAAAATAAACCCGTCGAGTTGAGGTTTCGCACAACTTCGTGGTCACTTTGGAGACCTGCAAAACATCTCTTTCCAAAGACTGGTTCATCCAATGAACAGCGAGGCTCTGGAACACATTGCCTTGAGGCACAAAACCTCCAGAAATTTAAGAAGAACACCAATACCTACCTTATTTTTCTTGGTTCTCACGATGTTTCCTCAACATTACAAGACATCCCTTTTCGTGGGAACCAGAACATAAAAAATAATGTTTATGACATTTTCATGACAATATCCGAATAATGAACTTACAAGTAGAAAATAAACGATGGATTGTTTTTTCAAATGGTTATGAAGGGTGGCTAGATTCGCAATGAAAGCCCTCATTATTGTAATCAGAGAAATTCTCTATGGAAAAAAATATATCCTAGAAATTATAGGGGGCCCGGCTCTGTAGCATTTTAATTAATATCCGAAAAGTATTCATATGTGACGTACTCATTATCGCTAATTTTTCCGTCCTATATGATGCCTATGCCGGTATAGGTGGGCGGTGATTGTATACGTTGAATCTAATATTACTATTATTAGATAAGTACCTTGGTTTGTGTAACGATGCACCTTGTTGAATGTTGTCTGTTGTTATTTATTTTGGGTGACCCAACGGCTTCACAGAGCTGTAGGGAATATTCGCAGAGTGTGAGTATTATAAAAAATCAAATAAAGAGTATCTTTTTCCACCTTTCAAACTTCAAAAAGTAGTAGATGGACAAAAGTTCCAGATAGATACATAGGTATTGGTCTGAATGCTTTGTTTTTTGGACCATGGAAACATTTTTGGAATTTTTATAAACTCAAATTTTGTCAATCAGTTCACGAGATATTTCGGTAATGTTTATTGAAACACCCTATAGACTAATTCTTTGAACGCGCTCTCGATACTTGGCCTGATATTCTGAAATTAATACACTAACCTTCCAGACCCATACAGATTTGTCATTCTTGTACAAAAAAGATTGAATGAAAGTGAGTAGACATTTTTGGAACTATTCATACTCATCATGATGTAGTTTCTCACAGAAAAGAAATTGTTGGATATTCAATGAGATTTCATTTCATTTCACAGAATGTCTCAGAATACAATCAAAATCTTGTTGGTTCTCTCATAAAGAATAAGTAACCCAAAATAGAAAGTGAAAACATGATTCTTGAATAATGATATAGAATCAAGGTAGGTACATACCTATAACTGTCATATATTTATATCCATCGGGTCTACCTAATCTGTTGGCATCACAGTTTTGAAAAATTGGGCTTGGGCTTGTATTTTGGGAAAATTGATATTGTTTCTCAAATAAGGTATTTCAGTGATATACATAGTTATTCGATAGAATCATATATCACAATTGAATCATCCCAGTTTCCATCATGGTATTCAAGACCATTGTATACAGGGTGTATCTAAATAACACCGAAAAAATTCAATGGGTGATTTCTTGTGATATTTTAGGAAATAAAGTTCATATAAACATGAGTCCTAACTTGCTTCGTTTTCGAGATTCAGGGTATTAATATTTCCATGAAAAATCTTTTCTCCATTCATTTCTCAATTATCTTTTCATCAATTTCAATAAAACGTTGTGATTTTGTCAATAGTAATATGGAGCTTCTTCTGGTGCAATTATAGATGTGTGATTTTTGTATCTAGCTCAGTTTTTGAGGAAACAATAACAATTCGATTTGACTCCTTTTATGTAGGTGTTTTCAAGACACAGTTTGAGGTTCCAAGACTTCCATTGAGATTACTCAATTACCCCAAGTACAATAATTTTGGAATTTTGGGGCTTTCTCAGTCTCCATCCATACTGGATTTTGGCATCATGGAAGCTCATACAGGATGGTTATAAATGAAAACAATTATTACTTCCAACTTCAACATCCTGTATCTCGAAAACGGAACATGTTTATATGAACTTTATTTGCTAGAATATCACAAGGAAACACCCCTCGAATCTTTTCGGTGTTAATCAGATACACCCTGTATAGTGGAAAATGAGACAGAGGACAATCATCCAATTTCATGAATACACAATAGAGAGTTGAAGTAATCACTGTACGTAGACCTCCACGTAAACGTTAAAGTACGAAAAATAACGTTTACGTAATGTCTTCAAATTGAGTTGAAGTCGTCACTGTCATTGTAACGTTATAACAAATTATGTTATCGGTTTGTATTGGTCAGTTTTGGTTGTTCGCTTAGATCAAAACATTTATTCGTGTTAAAATGGAAGGTTGCCCTGATGCAGAACTCCTTAAGGATCCCGAATTTGATGATTTTGACTCATCGGCATATTACGAGTTTGGTTCGGTTAACGTACGTTGATGTTTAAGGTATACGTGAAAGTACGTGAGATAACGTACACCCGTGAGCCCACTACCAACGCGAACGTGAAGAATTGAAAAATGCGCATGCGTAGCTGTCAATTTCTACGTTAACGTTAACGTTCGTGGCAACACTTCAACTCTCTATTATCGAGGATGTCATCTTTGTAACTAATCGATTATATTGAAGCGCTATTGCCATCATAAATTATAGGGCTTTCATCATCTTCATTATTATCATAATATATTGTCCTCATATGAATCAAATCTGATGTTATGATAAGGAGGGGAAACCTCTCATGAATGAACGAAAGAAAATGGTAGATAACGGTATTGATGATGATATTGTTGGAATGATTATAACTAACTTCTCATTAGAGACAGGGAGAACAGGGAAATGGTGGCCGGCCCATAAGCAGCTTTTTTCTATAAGTAGGTAGATTATTTTATGCCAATTGATCACAAAAACCAGGGAACAAATAGACATGATTTTCCTGTTGATGAGAATTCGTTGAATATTCGAAATAAATGAAATTGATGGCTACCGTTACCCCAGATAGTTGGGGTAATAGTGGTCTCAAAAATTTGAATGAGTAATTCAAATGCAATAATCACAAGCCTTTTCAGTATTAGCTGACGATTTATGTTCCCAATTGCCACAGAGACTTCATTTCAACCAAATATCTGCATTATTTCCGTATTCGCCACACACTAATCATATATTCTGAGCCTGTCTCATCTTTGTCGTTCTGTTATTAGTCCAATATACTTTTTCTGTCAGCCTTCGATGAATTCTTGTCATCTGGGAAATGTTCTATTGCTCAACATAATGTTTCATTCAGCAATGGGGTAATGGTGTCTACAAACGTCAAAAAATGACAAGGTTCGCGCATTGATAACAAATTGCGAAGTGACACTTTTTTTCAGTTTCCTACGTTACCATGATACCTTGCACAAAACAATGCGCGAAGTAAAACAGTGCGCGAAGTATACCTACTTCGCGCATTGTTATGTAAAATATATGAGATATTCTTATTTCAACTTTATGGTCCTCAATCGAGCAAACATTCACGAAATCATTTATTTTTGAATGTTCAACAATAACTTCGTTTCATCTCTTGGAGTGCACGGAAGAAAATTCCTATTACGTTCGTGGAACATCGTGCGTACCTAGGGAGGATAGGGGGGAGGCCTTTTAAGCCAGTTCAACACTATTTTTTATATCAAGCTAAGCATATTTTTACTTTAGAACTATATTTTTTAACGTTTTTAGAAAACATGTTGTTTGCAACTCGAGACTATTTTTCAACTCGGGAAAATAACTATTTCATTACATTGTTCAGAGATAATGCGCCAATGCGTTGTTACGTTCAACTGCTGATGTCTCCTGCGATGCTAATGAAAAAAAAAAGGAATAATGCCTGGAACTAATCAGAATCCTTACATTTTCAGTGCAATGATGACAAAGCCTGTTGCGGAGGATGTTGTATGGACGGGATATGCAAAGATAGTGAGTGATATTTGATGAATGGCGCTTCTATAAAGGACAGTGACGGCTCGTGAATATTAGGGATACGTTACTTGAGTAGGCATTAACGACCTATACAGGGTGTCCGGAAATTAGGCGCGAAAAATCAAGGGGGTGATTCTACATGATAAAATAAAAATTTCATTTCATATGTACGTGGGTCCGGAAATGCATAGTTTTCAACATACAGTGTGTGAAAACTTTTAAAAGAGTTCGGTTTTTTATGAATATCTCAAATGTCCTTCCACCGATTTCCTTGAAATTTGGCAATGATATTTCTTGTCATGAGGGGCAGATATAGCAATAATTCAATCGGAATTATGAATGTCAGTGGCGTCCCAGGGGGCAACCTAGCGAATATTATTGTCAATAAAATGTGCGCCACTGATTTTTTTGAATTCTTTATCTCCGTAACCTATTGACCAACTAAAAATTCAACTTTTTGGTCTCGTGAATTGTTCTGAAAAGTTGCTTCATTTCCATGGAAAAAAATTAATACCAATTTATTGCATGAATTTGTGCCAAAAAATTCCTTTAAAAACTGGGATGAAAATGAATGCGTGATCAATGTCCATAGACATAGAATAAGTATGAAGATTCATTCTCTTCAAATATTTCTTGATACATGTTTGACACACTATACACTCTGTATATAGAGACCTATGTATTCTCGCTCCAGGGAGGCGCAGTTTTCGATAATACGAAGTGTGTCAAACATGTTATATGAAATATTTGGAGAAAATGAATCTTCATTCTTATTCTACGTCTATGGACATGGATCACACATTTAATCTCACCCCTGTTTCCGAAGCTTTGTTTTGCACAAATTTATACAATGAATTGGTATTTATTTTTTTCCACGGAAACGCAGCAAAATTGCAAAACAATTCAATTAACCAAAATGTTGTATTCGTAGTTAATCATTAGGATATGACGATGTAGAATTTGAAAAAATCAGTGGCGCACATTTTATTGACAATAATATTCGGTAGGGTGCCCCCGGGACGCCACTGGATTTCACAATTCCAATTCAATTATGGCTAAATCAGCCCCTCACGACAAAGAATATCATTGCCAAATTTAGAGAAAATCGGTGAGAGGATATTTGAGATATTCATAAATAACCGATTTTTTCTAAAAAGTTCGACACACTGTATCTTGAAAACTATGCATTTCCGGACCCGAGTATATATGGAATAAATCTCATGTTTTCTCAAGCAGAATCACCCCCTTGATTTTTTGCGCATAATTTCCGGACACCCTGTATAATGTTTGCTGCAGGGTAATTTCTTGTGTCCGTACAGGGGTACTTTGCTAAGTCTGACTGTAGTCAAATATAGGTGAATATAGGTAAATGCACAGGAGATGAATCAGAGATGAGTGATTTCATATATTTTGTACTTTGGAACATGAATAAAACTCCTACTACAAAAAACTGAAAACTTTGTAACATATAGGTAAAATTGAATAAATTGGAATTCAGGGTTATCCAATTTGAATTTCCATCATTCCATCATTATGTATGTTTGTTGTTATTGAAGATGCAACATTGATTGAATTAGTAAACAAGCAGTACCTACTACCTACTACTATACCTACCTAAAAATAAATAGAGATACATTATACCACATACCTAGTTTATTATGATCTCTCCACATATTATTGTTTTCGATGAAATTATTCCTTACCCATGCCTGAAGCAATCACAGATACTTTCTCCAATAATGGAAATCGACTCATTCCAAAAACGCTACCTATTAATGACCTATAGTGACAAATTTCCCGTCAATGAGAGAATAACGACATTGCGATAATCCGCTTTTATACCGTTTGTGTTTTACTGAGATGGATATAGTCTTTACAAAGACACTTGAGGCAGCAGATTGATCATAATAGATTTGCCTTGAATTTGTCTCAAAGTGACTTTGTGAAGACTATATAACATAATACATACGTCGTAGCGAATAGTTGCATTGAAGGTGTGTTTTTTATTAATAGATAATATTTAATTATGATAAATCGAGTGATTCAAATTAACATATTTCTATTCCTCAGTACATGAAATAAGAAAATCAAGAAACAAAAACACTGACACTTCAAGGAAAACATGAATTCCGATGTCCAATTCTGAAAGCGAGTTTCATCAAAATGTGGACAGAAACACAAATTTCTTGCCATTTTTACTTCTAATTTATTGCTGAAATGAGTGCACAATTCCAAAAATGCTGAAACTACACTGAATGAAGGTTCCCATGGAAAAATATAAGAACTTTTTTTCTTCTCTAGGGAATCCTTGAGATTTTCGAATGATTGAAATCGCTTTCTTCAAAATGTCTCGAGCATATCATATAATTATTATGAGGTTAAGATTGTCATTCAAAAGGTCTTCCTATAGCCTGTAGCCAAATAGAGCATCTTTCTTCCCAAGCTGCAAGTAGCAAATAATAATTCAAACACATGGAGAATTTCCCGAAACAGTCCTGATATGTGATTTCATGGATATTTCTAATGTTCTCATAACTAATAACTGTTCAAGTCATGGTATATTTATCAAATGATTGTTTCCTGAACCGATTTAGATAAAAACAAGTGGGTACGAGTTCACATATACCGTAATAAACATACAAAAACAAATAAGCTGAATCAGCTGATGTGTCTTACGTCAAACGATATAATCACACCGCATGTTCACCATGCCGCTGAGTCTGCCATGTTCTGTAAACGTTTTTTCGGATACCTATGTTGAGAATTAATTTCCATTCTACTCTGGCAAACATGATACACACCTCTGGGTTATGGTTGTGTGATACTTATACCAATTATTTATTTCAGCATATGCAGACTGCAGACTGAATTCCGATCCTTGCTTGGAAGCATTGTGTCCACCGGATCAAGAATGTTACGTCTACTACCCCACACACTGTCCTGGTTGTGGACCTACAAAAGAATGTCGAGATGCTCCACGTCCACCAGAAATTCCGACTTCTACGGAGGCTGCCAAAATAGCAAACAAGTCTTCCAACTTTACACTCAGCAAAAGTGTGTTCTTTATCTCGTTTTTGATATTATACACTTTTTATAGATAGAATGGTGACTGTTATTTTATTGGAATAGCACAACTTTTATAAAATACATAACACCATTCAGTCAGTCAGTTTCATGAAGCTAGCTAAAAAAACGTGAGTAGGGTATAATATTGATATTATCGATGAATCTATGTTATTGAGAATTATCGATAAACCGATAATTCTTTATCTGATATTTTATCGATAATAATTATCGATATATCGGTAAAGTTGCCCACCCCTACAGCCTTGTACGGACGATGTTCCACTAAAATTATATGAATTTCCTTTCGTACGCTCCAAGAGATAAGAAAAGTGAAACCCATATAGCAATACTGATGAACGGAGTAAACATATTTCAAGATTAGTTTTTGATATTTTGTCCAGGACGATACTGCTTTGGGAAAGTGTTTCCCGGACTATAGGTTTAAAAGAACCACATCGTTTTCATTGTTACATTAACAACGAGTTAGTGTCTTATCCAATTTGACAGTTGAATAGTTGACATTTTTCCATCACCAAGTTTTCATGGTTTTTTGTTGCGAATTGTGCAATAAATAATAAAAAGCAGCAGTGAAATCGAGTTCAAATATACTTCATACAGTACAAAAATCAAAGGCTGGGTACGAAACCGTCGAATTTGTTCACAAAATAAAAATATATGGATATTTAGATTGATACAAATCTTTCACAGAAGATGTACTTTTTGCTTATTTGTCTTAATTAATCCCAATTCATATACTGCATGTTTCTTTTGGCTCTCTTTCCTAATTATGAGAATCATGTATTCTTCTGGGAATGAATAAAGTCTTTCTTCTAAAAATATCGAAAATTGTTCATCATCATCTACCCTATGGAGAAGTAGATACGCACCAACATGAATCGTTGGTGCATGTTCTGACTCCAACAATGGAAAATTTTATAAAAATTTAGCCTTTTTTTTTTTTGAATAAATATTATTATAAATTAAAATCACATTGCCCCTGATGATTCTGTTCAACGAATAGATATTAAACAGATACTTGTTTCACTTGTTTTATTGGTCGCCTGGAAAAAAAATGTTGGACTCGCATCGGACTCCCAGCTCGAAAAATCGAGCATGTTTCAAAGATTCTCAGTATACAATAACATACATTTCACTCCAATACACTGTTTAAGACAATTAAACGACTATATGTTCTGGATACTAGGGATCTAGGGTCGTAATCATTAATTACTTGGACTTTCATCGAATTCATCCACTAATTTACGAAAGCCCTGTAAGCATATTTTGTATATTCTGACGGAAACAAACAGAACAAAAGTATATTGTTAACGAGCACGGAATGATAGTCATTTCCCACGACAATTAATTTTTTCAAAGCTGAGTTCAGGAGCAAGATCCATCAAGGAATTAACAAAAATTGACTATTTCCCATCAGGAGTTTTAATCTTATTTTGAAGTTACTGATCGTATATTGTCTGAATTCATTGGGCAACTGGTTGTAAAACTTAGCATTGTATGAAGAACATCTTGTGTATATTGCAGAAGAGTGAGGTGGAATGACAAGAACGTGTCTGTTGCGTGTGCAGAGCTCGTTCAGTACTGAAGACGTTCTCAATTTCTCATAAAGATATTTTTCTCCAAATGACATTAAGAGTGGATTGTTAATGACACTTAACAGGCAGAAAAGGTGTACTTTCACTGCCTAGGCAGAAAAAGTTTCAAGTAATTTCAATCAAAATTGGTAATCAAAATTGACAATGACTTTGGGTGAACGAAAAATGATGGATTATTTGGACTGTGCGAGAAATTGAAAAGAATTTGGAGAGAAAATTATATATTTCACATGGCAGAAAAGAAGATATAATGCCTTGGTTGGTTTCCTAGCCTCGGTTACGCCTAGGCTATGAAACGCCAGCCGCGGCATTAAATCTTGTACTTTTCTGCCTAGTAAAACAAATAACTATATTGACAATAGATGTAGATTTTGTAGATCGTTCAACCTGAGCCAACCAGAGTTACTGAATTCTGTACTAATGTGTTCAAATTTTCGAATACCGAAAGAAAGTCTGATGCATGGGTTTTGTATTCTTTGGAGACGATACTGATCAGACTTCAAGAGTGCTGAACAATAAGACAGTTTGGACGTTATCAATACTTCGCATAAAGAAAGCTCCAATTGCTTGAAGAGCATGTGTCTGTTAGGATATAGTTGTCTAAGGATGTTGAAGGATGCCTAGCAAAGATGACACACATCTGGTGAATCTCAGCTCTGAGTCGAGCCATAAACCTGAATTTTTGCATTCTCTAACCACAGATCTCTAACTATAGGTAAAATATCAGACCCGATTTTTATTATCATATCGAAGACAGTAAACCAAGAGCAATTTAGGAAAAATAATAAGAAATTGTAGCATTGAGAATTGTATCCGCTATTCTAAATTCTAAAGGGAAATATCGATGGGAACTGCGTTTGGCGCGAGTCGGCGATCGATCCCAAAACAGAAAATAATTTGATTTGCTTTGGTAATTAGCCGGGAAATAGGCGAACAAAAGGAGCTTGTTAATTCAAAAAAGGGGATTTAATCAGCTATTATAGCTGAACCGAGGATTTTTGTTTTCTCGCAAATAATAAGAACATCGTCCCGGATCTTGGGTTTTAGAGCGACGGAGATTTGTTCAATTAAGTTCAGTGTCGTTGCTTCCGAGCTGTCTTTATAATTAATTAGGAGCCACAGTGCAGGATTAATTAAGAATTTTGGTTTCGAGGGGTTTGCGACTAACCTGGGAAAGGCAGATAAATAGTAGGATTCGGTCGAGGAATACGATTTTATCAAGATTTTCGCATTCCTCTTTGTCAATATGCGGCATTGGCATAGAAATGGGAGGTGGCAGGAAATTAGCAAGCATAAACTCCAAGGATTTAACGCACAAGTTCAACACATATACAGGACTGCCGACTATATCCTGATATACTCTTTATTATATGTATTCAAATTCAAATTCAAATATTCTTTATTGTCAGAAGATTTTGCATCCCATTGACAAAGGTTTGTAAGTACATGTAAATATAAACATAACTAATAGTGAACAGATAAGTAACAAAAAATTTTAGAATAAATCAAGTACAAATACAATAAAAGTAAAATAGATTACACATATTTTCAAAAGGATTCATTAAAATACTCTTGTAGGCTATAAAAGGGTCTACCAGCTAGCAAATTTCTCACTGCTTTCCTAAAATGCACATTGGTCAGATTTGCAGATCTTATATCTACTGGTAAGTGATTGAAAAGCTTTCCACCATTATAAAAAATGGAATCCTTGATTAATGTTGAGTTGGGTATGGGAAGTCTGATATTAAATATGCTATTACGAGTAGCATACGGAGAAGAAACAAAGTCAAACTCCGTTTTGTGTTTGTATACCAGGCATACAGTTTCAAGAATAAACAGTGCAACGACAGTTAAAATCTTATTGGCAGCAAAATAATTCCTGCATGAATCCCTGGGTTTGACCTTACAGAGACACCTTACAGCCCTTTTCTGTAATATCAACACAGAAGAGAGAACGGTTGCACTGCATGTTCCCCAAAAAGGTATTCCATATCTTATTTGAGAGTCAATTAAAGCGTAGTAAGCCGTTTTTGCTGTGTGAAAACCCAACTCATTAGAAACCATTCTCACTGCATGACATCCGGATAAGATTTTACTCTTGAGTTGTCTAACGTGTTCATCAAATTTAAGCTTACTATCAATGAATACACCAAGAAATTTTGTGTTTAGTCTATTTTCCAAGATATCATTGCCTATTGAGAGTTCATTTAGCAGACATTTAAATGCCCTGTATAACTATCTAGTTATACAGGGCAAGCTATAAAATGAAATAAACGAACATTTCAAGGTTCTATATTTCATTACTTCATATACAATACAAAACAATTGTCATCATAGGTTACTTTATATGAGAAAGAACATATAAGTGAAAATGAAACACCCCATATATTTCGAAATATGTGTAGTGAAATGAAACTTCAAAAAAATACTTGGTTTGTCATGAGAATATGATGGAATGAAGAGATGGACACAGTTCAAAACTGAAATATTTACAAAAAATGAATCTTTTCTATCTACAGTCTGTCCCGCTTTTCATGAATACACTCATTGGTCTATATTTATTCCCGTTCAACAATACACTATAATGTATCTACCTTTATATTTGAATCTTCTGAGAATAAATATTATTATTATTATTATTACTCTAATATCTCAGTGAGCGATTCTCTTGGAATTTTGGTGGTGATTGAATGTTAGAATAATGAAGTATTCAGCAGAGTGAACAGTTTCATTCACCATTGGCGTGCGATGTTGAGTGGTACAAAAAAGCCCTTTATTCGGGAAAGGATTTTAGGGCTCATTTTGAATAACTTTTTTTATCAGATTCAGAATCAGCATCCCCTAATTGAAATTTTCAAAATCTCAAGAAACATTCAAGATCGCGCTTGTCATGACTATATACGCCATAAAATCTCAGTTATTGATGATGCGATTTTCTAGAAATTGTGATGGTGATTGTCTGTTATTTCTATAACAAGGAGTACCTCACTCTTACTCGAAGTTCAGCATTCGTGATATCGAGGAAGGAGACTAAAAATTACCAATCAGTTCCGTTCAATCAGAAGATAGTTGCTTTTTGTCAGATTCTAACACTCTTCTATGTCGTATGTGCGTCGTCAATGGGCTTATTTCACAAAAAAATTGTATTTCATAATTCAATAGAACTCACCCAAACTAGCTCACCACCGCAAACCGTTTCTTGCTGTGAGCTCCCTATGTTTTATAAAAAAAATTATTGAAATCCTCGATTTTTCGGACCTCTGAAAACGAGGCGATGATGTGACGTCAAAACCCTAATACTGAAACAAGACTATTCCAGACAGAGATGAATGATACATGATTTCTGACAGAGTGAATTAGCGCGCGATTGAAATCCCTGATTTTTCAGACCTCTGAAAACGAGGCGATGATGTGACGTCAAAACCCTAATACTGAAACAAGACTATTCCAGACAGAGATGAATGATACATGATTTCTGACAGAGTGAATTAGCGCGAGATCACAATTGAAAGAATTTATATATCAGTTGCCTCAGTCTCCGTCGGGCGTTTGGTATTTTCTTCAAACTATGGCGAGATGAGGTTTCTACGTCATAAGAGGGTCCGTTTTCAGAAGGTACTATTATTTATGTCCAAAAATAAAACATCCCAGTTACTTTTTCGATCAAATATGTTGTCAATCATTATTTATGTATGGATCATTATAAACATGGTTTGGGTTAAAAGTTCTACTAATAAGGTGTACACGCCCATTCATAATATAGATCTGTGTACATATCTGGTTCCCACGAGAAGGGATATCCTGTAATGTTCAGAGAACATCGTGAGAATCAAGGGAAATGAGGTAGGAATTTGTTTTCTTCTTAAATTTCTGGGGGTTATATGCCTTGGGGAACACCTCCCTTGGCGATGTGTTCCAGAGCCTCGCTGTTCGTTGGATGAACGAGTTTTTGGGAAGAGATGTTGTGCAGGTCTCCAAAGTGACCACGACGGGGTGCGAAGCCTCAACTCGACGGGTTAATCTCATGGGGACTGCCAAGGGAGGAACAATTGCTGATATTTCAGAAGAAAATATCTATAAAATAGAGCCAGATCGCCAACTTTTCTCCGGTGTTCCAGAGAAGTGAGTGAGTTTGTGAGCGAGGCATCACCCACGAGACGAATTGCCTTTTTTTGGACAGAATATCCAACAGTTTCAGGGAATGTTTGGGTGATGCACTCCAAATATGTAAACAGTATTCCAGGACAGGTCGGATCTGTGCCTTATAGATCATAAGCAGCTGACTGGAAATGAAATAGCTCCTGGCACGAAACAGAAAACCAAGTTTTTGGGATGCACTTTTAGCAATTGATCTCACGTGATTTTCCTAAAAAAAGATATTGCTGATAGTAATACCAAGCATCGAACGCCATTCAATTCTCCCAGCATCTTTTCGACCAGATGGCTATTGAACGTGCTTTTATGAGATCTTCAACTCTTTATTGCCATCTAGGAAATAGCACTATCCAGAAAAACATTGAAAGGAGGCCAACTCAAATCTTTTCAAGATCTCCGATTTATTTCTCTGATGAAAAGCATCTTTTCTTCTTTCAATTCTTGGGTGAGAATGCGAATTTCCACCATCGAATGATGATTATCAAATGTTATAATTGAGTTAACTCATTTCTCGATGATTTTATTCTGGGCACCATATCGATCAGCCAATCCGTGGAAGTTGCACCTTATTGTTCTTTCGTCGTGTATTTTTTCTCCAAAAGTGAAACACTTCCGGCACCGATCGACCCTTTCATCCAATGGGGAGCTATTTAAAAAAAACTTACGTACAGCGTCCCAGAAAGGGAGTGTTTCAGCTTTCAATTAGCTCTTGAGCACGGATAGCTTCCATTTGGAGTTGGTAGAGCACTACTAATAGGGGCTCAGCAGTGTTGTTTCCAGACGAAAATTATTGGAAGGTTTCTCCTTTCTCCCCTATCCTATGGAATGATTCAAAATTTCAAGTGACGACTGGATTTGATTTTCAATCAAAACTTGAATGACCGAAAATGAAAGACGAACACGTTGAAATATAATTCGAATATAAGAAGTTATCAATGTTTGGTAAATCCAAACTGATTTGAGAGCATTTTTTTTATCTCTTGGAGCGCACGACAGGAAATCCGTATAATTTCGGATGGACAAAGTTTCATGGTGTAGGAAATCTTGAATTCCTTGATTTTTCTCAAGTAATCCGCTTGCATTTTTCTGAACGGATACAATAGCATTGCTTCCTATTCAGTTGGTATAAATAGAACATGGTATTCACTACTGAACAGTGGACACGAAAATGGTCTATTCAAGATAAGTGAAGATTCGATATTTTTTCAATATAGCTATATTTCTTTTCTTCAAACATTTTTCTTAACAAAGTGTCACTGACAAGCTATTGGATTTTTCTTTTAGGCTATCTGATAGAAAAATTTGTTAAACGCAGTGACATTCTGGGGCAAATCATCTGATTTGTCCTACTACACATATAATGAAATAATACTCATATTTTTATTTTATAGAAACGAGAAGAAAATAGTATATTATGTAACAAGTGTTATAAACAGCCTTTTAGTAACGAGTATTTTAAGCACGAGCGGAGCAGAGCGGAGCGAGTGTTTAATAAACGAGTGTCTAGAAGAGTTTATAAACGCGTTACATACTATGCTTTTACTACGAACTCCGAAAATTACATTAACATACCTGCTATCCCTGCTAACCTATAGAAAATAATTCGAAAGGAATAGGAATTGAGAACATAATACATGCAACTGCAACCAGCGAGACACGTATAAGTGATATTTTAGTTGTAGATGTGTCCAGTCCATTGCTTACTAACCTTTGTTTAACGTTTATTGTCATGCTCAGCGCAGAATAAATAAATTGTTCTCAAAGATGGATGCTTCATTTTTACACTTCTTGGAGATATCCAAGTACCAGAAAATTCTCTTCGATTTCACCCACGTCTACTTTTCGCGTGGGTATATTTTTAATGAAGAATTCTGATACAAATGAAAATTGTTTGAATATTTCTAATACAAAATTCGAAAATAACAGTTGACGGTTAATACATTTGAGGGCAGGACAGACATGTCTCAAATTACTGAAGCTGTTTAATGAACTGCGTTACAAACAAAAATTGTTCGAATAATTCTGGTTGCAAAAAATTTCGAAAATGACAGTTGACAGTTCCTACGATTGACAGGCGGGGCAGGACAGGATTCAAATGACTGAAGGTGTGTTTGAAAAACGCTGTTACAATGGTAATATGTTTAAGAAATCGTGTTGCCATCGTGACGTGTTTAATATTTTGAATAAATCACAGATCGACAATTCGTGATTAATAGATCATTTAGCGTGGTACATATCCGTACGCTAAATGCCATTTTAGCTATGTGAGTAGAAAAAATCCCAAAGTACGACCTCCTCGATAACATACAGACAGTATTTATTTGTTCGATTGTTTGTATTGAATTGGCTCCAAAACCACTAGACCGATTTCAAAAATTCTTTCACCATTAGAAGCCGACATTATCCCTGATGAACATAGATTACTTTTTACCGAAAAAGTACTTCATTTCTACAGGAAAACGGCTGAAAGGACAACGGGTAGTAAAGTATATCCAATATCAATTGCAGAATATCTCGCACTGTGCGGCGTCGGCGTGTATGAAGTTTCCTTTGAAGTGACTGCAGGTGCGGCACGAGAATCTGCAATTGTTTTTGGATAAACTATACTAATTATCCTTCTGTACTTATCTTTTTCACATAACTCCTTTGAAAATTCAATTGGAAGCGGTACGTGACGCTGTTGTCGGTACGTCAACTACTGAACGGCTTGACCGATATTGGGTTGAAATTTTCAAAACTTAAAACAACAAAAACTACAAAAGATACAGAGCTCGCAAACAGCCATGGAACTACCCACATTTCCGGAAAATGATATAAGAAGGAAATGAAGATTGATAATCACTTAGGATTTTTCTACTAGCGTACTGTGAAGCCTACTTTTATGCACTCATTTATGTGTTGGGAGAGTCACTTTTGCACTAGTGCGGAAAAACTTTTAACACTAATTTTTTTTGGTTTTTTTCTGCACCCTAGTTAACAGAATTGTGTACCTAATACGTGCGTGAAGTGACTCCTCCGCACGCAATTGCAATCGCGTGTTGAAAAGTATCACTTTCCGCTCTTGTCAAGAAAACTACTATTTCCTGAAAACTTTTCAGTTCTGAAAAATTGGAGTTATATGATTTGTTAGCGAATATTTCGATAACTATGAGAAATAGGGAAGAACATATACTGATACAATGTTGTAGTTTGTAGGACGGGAATATTTCACCTCTTGCAACTCATTACGTAGAGTATAGTATGACGTTTAAAAACTTCAATTAGTTTTGAAGAGTATCACTATATTGAATGATATCATGCACTGAATACGAACATACATATCATGATTCCATATTGTGTTATTACATTTGGATTGAAACATAGCCTTCGATTCAACTCGTAATAGCTGCATTTATCTTCGATGCATTCCAGTTTACCGACAAAAAATGATACACATAAAGATAAAACGCACCAAGTAAGTAAATAAATTCTAGATTATCGTGTCACAGTTCAAACTCGAAACAATGAAGAAACAATGAAAGATAATGCAATTGCAATCACGTCAATTACCACCACCGCACTCAGTTATCAGAAGTATGCCATTGATGCGGTTGCAGCATGGCCGCAAAATTTCATCTGATAGTAATCACAATCACTACAATCGTTGTGCAACGCGTGCACCAAGCCATCTGTGACAGGTGCCACCTACGATAATCAGCTTTGTTCGAATCACCCAACAATTATCATTCCAGTGACAACCAGTATACCCTGAACAATGGCGGGTTTCTGTTTTCCATGCCGAGAGTCCTGGTGTCAGGCAGAAATGAGTCGGTTTGTATTTCTTTACACGAGGTGGCTATCCCCGCCAGGGTTGCTATCAATCTGAAATGGAAAGAGAAACATTATCCGACGATGAGACATCTGGAAACAGGTGAGTGATTGACACGAACTAACTTTCCTAGTCATGCCTATGATAAACTATCAGTGCTTCTCGTAATCTCTGAATAAACTCAAGGTTAATTAATTAATTGAAAACTGACTTATCGAAAGTACATTCATGTTTGAGCTACAAGAGAAGGGTGTGTGTGTTCGACGAGCATATACACTATAACTGTATATCAAGAACTACTCGTAGGTCACATTACCTCTACAATGTTCGATTTTGATATCATCTCACTATTATTCCTATTATTGAGGCATACAATTTGTGGACATTATTAACTGGTCGATAATGAAAAAATAATAATAATAATAATGATAATAATAGTAATAATAATTCGTTTATTTTTCCCCAAAAAACCATGACAAGTATAAGGTTGTAGGTTAAGTATACTTAATGTGGCGAATAGATGGCCAGAGTTCAGTTACATTCTACCAAGTAGATTGAAACTGTTCTTTCATTCTGGCCAGACCTAAACCTAACAAGAAACTATAAATCTAACGGTTAAAGAACCTAAGAGCATTACTATAGTATATGAAGAGTTAAGAAGAAGGGTAAGAGAGTTATCAGTTATGTTCTCTGCTAGCTAGTTTTCTCTCAAACAGGTCTCTCCATGTAGTGGTCGACGGAGTTTCATCTGACTCTCTTATCATAAAGATCAATTCTAGCACCAACACTATTTCTACTCCATATCAACGATTTGTTGGAAGCAACTTCATGTCCAGTGCACAGCTTCGCGGATGATAGTACCCTCCATACCGCCTTCTCTTCCAGGACTCCAATTCCAGCCAGGCAAATCAAAAACGAGCGAGGGAGAAATGCTGACAACATAAATATGTACTTGGCAACAATTCTCGAATGGGGATCCAATAACTTGGTAGATTACAATGCAAACAAAACACGAGCATGCTTTTTCTCTAGAAAGGCCGATCTCACTGTGCCCAACATAAGCTTGTCAGGAGTGAACGTACCTTTGAAGACATCCATTTCGATGCTTGGGATCAATATCAGCAATAACCTTTCTTGGAAAATCACGTGAGATCAATTGCTAAAAGTGCATACCAAAAACTTGGTTGTCTATTTCGGGCTAGGAGCTATTTCACTTCCAGTCAGCTGCTTGTGACCTATAAGGCACAGATCCGACCTGTCCTAGAATACTGGATTCTGTCAAAAAAGGGCAATTTGTCTCGTGGGTGATGCCTCGCTCACAAATTCACTCACTTCTCTGGAACACCGTAGAAAAGTTGTCGATCTGGCTCTATTTTATAGATATTTTCATGGACGATGCTCTTCTGAAATATCAACAATTGTTCCTCCCTTGGCAGTCCCCGCGAGATTAACCCGCCGAGTTGAGGTTTCGCATCCCTTCGTGGTCACTTTGGAGACCTGCAGAACATCTCTTTCCAAAGACTCATTCATCCAACGAACAGCGAGGCTCTGGAACACATTGCCAAGGGAGGTGTTCCCCGAGGCATAGAACCTCCAGAAATTTGAGAAGAACACCAATTCCTACCTCATTTTCCTTGGTTCCCACGATGTTCTCTGAACATTACAGGATATCCCTTTTCGTGGGAACCAGAACATAAAAAAAGTTCACAATGTTCGCGATAGTGTTATTGCAATTAAATATACGATACTATTCTGATACCCTGATTTTTACATCAAATGTGCTAGTATATTCCTTGAATTTAGATTCAATGGGACTTCTAGTTCGACTTGTATATAATCAAATATAATACCCAATTCTTATTGGTGAAATTGATTGGGTTAGTTTTTATGAAAACATGAATTTTCTTTCGAAATAGGCCAATTCATACTAAAGTAAGTATAACTGGGGTTAACTCGCTTGGCAGCTAAATGATGAGACAAGGTTGAACTTAACAAAGTAGTCAATTTTATTCAACTAGGAATTTTCGAAAGATGTATATTGAATAGAAACAATAATGGGGGTAAATCAATAGAGAAATATCGAGCGTCAACGGGACAAAATAAACATGACACAAATTAATCAGAATCATATGGTATGAAACACTAGAAATAAAAGTTATTACTCACAAAAGAGTAGGTTTCTCCATGGGGAAATAACTCGAAGGACGTGAAGAACCGAAAAAAAAACTTATTGTAATGTTACTCGCGATCGCACGACTCGCGATCTCTAATTGTTATGCCCGGTTTTTTATTCAAACTCTATATATCTCTTTTCATAAATACTGAGTCAGCGATAATCTACCTCTTCATAGGTGCCAGCGACCTGGTGAAACGGTTGCAAATTGAAATAATACTGATTGAAATTGGATTCTTGATTCCCTCATCTAGCAACTACGATCGACTCTATTGTTTCCAGAAACATTAAAAGACATATTCATTGAGAAAAAGACAATTGAAATTCGAAATAACTGAATCAAATAGAAATGACAATTATATCTTGACATATTTCCCCCCTCCATGGAAAGGCTGACCCTCCAGCTTTGTGGCTACATAAAAATCGAGAGACGATAAAAAAGCAATCAATGAAATCAAAAGTCTGTTAATGATGAAGAAATATTAGGAATAAACTTCTGACTGCAACTATAGATTGATAAAAAAATCTAACAATGTCTTTCATTAGACTCCATATAAGGGGCTAACAGTCCAGCGATAGTCTAGTGGCTTCTTGATGTCTTCCGGAAATGTGAAATATTCTTAGAAATATATAGTTTTTGAGAAAAAAAGGATTTGAATTCGAATCATCTGAATAAGAGGAGTGAGAATTATATCTTGAAAGTATTATCTTATCACCTCGACAACTCTGAAATATAAATTTCAATTTTGAGGTGTTTTTTTCCTTCTACTGTGAATGTCGCTGCTTCCATGTTGCCATAGGTGTAAGTCTCTGAGCGAAATAATGCCGATTGGTTTTTCTTTGGATCAGGTTTTGCTTAGATAGATCTTCGGAATGCTGTTTGGTGACTACCCTATACACTGATGACGGCGAAAACCCCGGAAGTAGGTTCAAGCCTGGCTTCAATCTAAAGACAATTTGGTGTTGAGGAAAGGAACACTTGCATTCAGTATTCGTTTATACGGATCGTTACATATATTTCGAGAGGATGTAATTCAATGTTCTACGTGGCATAAGTCAAGAAAGTCGTTTTTTCCTCTCGTCATCTACCGTTGTTGTTTTTCATATTATTGAATTCTAGTGGACATGATTTTGAGTTTTTTGCTTCATACTACTTCAATAAAATTGGTTGTGGTTTCCGGAAGTTTTAGTGAATCAAATTTGATTGGAAATTTTCGATTTTACTTCAGAATTATTGTCAGTTTCAGATATGATTTGGAGAGAATTGATGAAATGGTTATTAAATTTTCAAAAAATACAAGGTGTCCATTCGAATGGACCAGACGGACATTTCTGACAAAAATGATCACATCAGATGCATCTTGTGTCACTGTAATTGACTGCGATGTTTCATTAATTTCGTCCCTTCAGTTTCAGAAATATTTACTGCTTTTATTCTTCATCCCAACCCTGTATAGCACTGGAGCACTCAGGAATTTCTCTTGGGGGGGCCCATAGAAGCCAATGAAAATAGTAAAATATACAGGGTGTCCTTAAAAGGTCTTTACAAAAAGCTACCACATATTCTTCAGACCAAAACAATTCGATACAAGCAAACTTACCTCAGTAAAAAGTTGCTTAGTTTGGGCGCTAGACGGCTCTGAAGTTGAAATTTTCAAATCGATTTTGCTTCATAACTTTTGAACGGCTCATGAGATTTTTTTCAAATTTGGTACGTTGGCATAGACTCATCGGGCAATGAAACTCATATCATAATCATAATGAATATCATTCCATGGGCGTAGAACTTGATTTTTTCAGGAAATAAACATCTAAAACTCCTACGCCAATGGAAAAAAATTAGTTTCAATATGAAATCTAAATTATTCAACTCATTCACTACAAAAAAGGTACTCTTGACAAAAGTCGATTCCTCTCATGGTTTCGACAAAATTTTAATTTTAGTGATTTAGAGCATAATTAATAATAAAACGATTAACAGATATTTCATAAAAATTGTTCAAAATGTTCACCATTTTCACGTATACAAAGATTTATACGACGCAAAAAGTTGAAATGTACTCTTTGCATAACTTCTTCATCGCCTGTAAGATTATTCGTCGCCTGTTGGATACGTTGCCATAATTGTTCTACAGTATTCACAGGGGTCTTGTAAACCGTAGACTTGAGATAACCCCATACAAAATAATCCATCGGTGTTAAGTCTGGAGAACGTGGTGGCCAATTCACGGGTGCATCATTACCTCTACCTATCCATCTGTCTGGGTACTGTTGGTTTAAAAAATTCCTAACATCCACCGAAAAATGTGGTGGAGCTCCATCGTGCATAAACCACATATCTACCCGATGTTGGAGTGGTAAATCTTCCAACAAATTTGGCAACGTATTTCGTAGATGTTGTAAATACATGTCTCCTGTTAATCTTTGTGGAAGTATGACAGGACCAATTATAAAATTTCCTATTATTCCAGCCCAAACGTTGATTTTGAATTCGTGTTGAAAATGGTTTATTTTAATGGAATGAGGATTTTCAATTGCATAAACGTGTTCATTATGAAAATTAGTTATTCCTCTTCTCGTGAAACAGGCTTCATCAGTGAACAAAATATTCTTTCCAAAGTTTAGATTCATTTCTCTTTGCAAATTAATGAACCTACAAAACATCAGACGACTTTGTGAATCATGGATTAATAAATCTTGAACTGGCGTCTTGTGGTATGGGTATAATAATTGTTCTCTTAGTACTTCATGAACGGCATTCCTAGAAACTTCTAGTTCATTACTTATCCGTCTAGTACTCAATTCTGGATTTTCTTCAATACGGTCTAAAATTTCTACTTCGACTTCGGGAATCCTTACATAACGCTGTCTTCCATAATCACCAGTTCTAGGAGCAAAATGACCGGTCTCCCGAAGACGTCTCTCAACTGCAGCAAAGGTTGGGTGGCTTGGTACGCGACGATTTGGAAACCTTGCCGAATACACCCTCACACTCTCTCGACCATTTCCTTGACAATATCCGAATACCAATAACATATCGGTGTATTCTTCATTGGTGTATTGTACGGCCATGATAAATCAGAAAAGTCCGATATCAACAATCAACGTCAATAAAACTCGACAAATCAACACAGATGAAACTATGGAAACCAAGAATGTGAATATCACTGTTTTCGAGCAGATAATAATAGTCTTCAGAAAAAAAACCAGTGCTACTTATTTTCAATAGAAATAACCTATGCAAAAAGTACATCTCAACTTTTTGCGTTGTATAAATCTTTGTATACGTGAAAATGGTGAACATTTTGAACAATTTTTATGAAATATCTGTTAATCGTTTTATTATTGATTATGCTCTTAATCACTGAAATTAAAATTTTGTCGAAACCATTCGACCATTTGTCAAGAGTACCTTTTTTGTAGTGAATGAGTTGAACAATCTAGATTTCATATTGAAACTAACTTTTTCCATTGGCGTAGGAGTTTTAGATGTTTATTTACTGAAAAAAGCAAGTTCTACGCCCATGGAATGATATTCATTATGATTAGGATTTCAACTTTTTGCGTCGTATAAATCTTTGTTCACGCGAAAATAGTGAACATTTTGGAAAACTTTCATGCAATATCTATCAATCGTTTTATTATTTAAATATGCGCGAAATCACTAAAACTTAAATATTGTCGAAACCATCAGAGTAATCGAATTTTATCAGGAGTACCTTTTTTGTAGTGAATGATTTGGGCTATCTAGATGTCATACTGAAACTGATTTTTTTTCATTGGCGTAGAAGTTTTAGATGTTTATTTCCTGAAAAAATCAAGTTCTACGCCCATGGAATGATATTCATTATGATTATGATATGAGTTTCATTGCCCGATGAGTCTATGCCAACGTACCAAATTTGAAAAAAATCTCATGAGCCGTTCCAAAGTTATGAAGCAAAATCGATTTGAAAATTTCAACTTCAGAGCCGTCTAGCGCCCAAACTAAGCAACTTTTTACTGAGGTAAGTTTGCTTGTATCGAATTGTTTTGGTCTGAAGAATATGTGGTAGCTTTTTGTAAAGACCTTTTAGGGACACCCTGTATACCTGTATATATGAAATAGAGTTCAATTCTGGGAAAATGAAAAACAATGATGAACAAAATGATACACATGACATATGTAATTTCTTAAAAAAAAAAATCATACTGAAGGTACAAACATTTTGTGCGAAATCAACAATTCTTAGAAATCTAGTTTCCTTCTTTTAGAAGTCATATTATCTAATATTTCCTCAGGAGACAGCGATATATCTTTATGAATAAAAAGTGATGCCAGACCATTCAGCTGGTTTTGCGCAGTAGTACTTCTCAAGTAAGTTTTCAATGTTCTCAATGATGAGAATGACCTCTCAGCCGTACAAGTAGTTATGGGAAGTGTTACAAAAATTTTGAGGAGTACATTTATATTCGGATATAAAGTTTGATCACATACTATGTAGCTTTGCATGGCATTTAGTGGCCGGGTATTGATTTCTTTGAACTTATAATTCCATGAACGTAATTCGCTCATCAAAATCAATTCAGAGATATCATCACATCTACAAAAAAGGATATACACTTTTGAAATGAAAAGCATGTTTGAAAAATCATTGAGATTTCAGTCTATGTTATTTGGCTCCGGTAATAATACTTTGAATGTCTTAATAATTTCTTTGTGTTTTGAAAATGAGACACTTTGGGTTGAGCCCCAAAGCCCACGCCTGGGTGCGCTAGTGCTGTATAGAACTAATCGGCTTCTCTAGACGCAATAATTAAAATCTAAATTTGAGTTGAGGATCTATTGTAGAACTAATGGAATACATCTATTGATCATTTCTATAAATATGCTTATCATATCGGATTCTTTTATGAATAATGGTGGAGGTCTCAGCCTGTAGATGCACGAAAGATTATTAATAAAATTAGAAATTTACTTCAGCGCCTATACATACATAAATGAACTACTAGCTTTGTACTGGTCCAGAATAATGCCAGCCAAAGAGAATTATTATTATGAGATATTTCAGAAATTTCAGTTGGTCTCGGAGATTCCAAGCTTCCATTGTTATCCTTTTGTATATACATTTTATAGGAAGCAGGAACAAACAAGGAAGGCAGTAGATATTTATGAACCGAGGGATTTGAATAGTATTCACCAATCGACGACGAGTGGCAGATCGTATTTTTCTGTGATTTCGATTATAATTTCATTTCAATATCAATATTTCAGCACAGCAGATATTGTACATGATTTAGACAGTAGATAATAAGAATGTGAATGAACGCATAGGCAATTTGAAGAGTATTAGTAGATATTCCGAGAGATATTCTGTTGATCATGGTCTCTTAATAAACCCAAATAAATCGCAAGCGATTTGTTTCGGTACTAAGTCACTTATAGCCAAATGTGAATCTCAACAGATAGTACCTATCAGTGTTGATAATGTAGTAGTGGAGGTGAAAACTAATGTGAAGAACTTGGGAATAATTTTTGATGAAAATCTTACATTTGGTCCACATATTCTCAACAAAATTCGTACTTGCTACTCCAAATACAGATCTTTAGGAAATTTAGGAACATTCTGCCACCTTCTACTAAATGGAATCTAACTAACTCACTAGTACTTACACATATCGACTATTGTGCATCTGTCTACTATCATTCTCTCAATGATAAGATGCGCTTTTCAAATAGAAATATCAACAGACGTGATCACACAACACCATTTTACAATGGAATGAAAATACTCAAAATTGAGAAACGGGTCACATGTTTATATGCATCAATTGTTTATATGGTGTTGTCTACTGAGACACCCAAGTACTTGCATGAATTACTCATCAGAAGATCTACCATTCATACAGCAAATGTCAGAAATGCTGATTCATTTACTATACCCCAACATCGTTCATCCAAATTCCAAGGTTGCTCCGAATATATTGCACCTACGATGATTAATATGTATGAAAATTTGTTCAGTGGTACTGTTTTGTACTTCAGTAAACATTTTTATCATTATTATTATTATTATTTGATCGAATCATCAATGGAAATATACAAAATAATTCAACTTTTATTTTGAAAAATGAATTGGGTGACAAAATCTTAGAGAACGTTCTAGTTCACATAGGAGCCAAAATGAAAAAAAAAAAGATACAAGAGATGATTTTGGAATAGGTTCATATTGCGTACTGGGCGTCCCCTTATATTTTGACTTTTTTTTTCTATATTCTCATTTGTTTATTCAGGGAGTGCCAAACGATAGTACAGGTGAAACCCTACAATTTTCATATTTGATTTTTTTTTCACCTCGTATAGTTGAAGCTGTAAGTAGGGGTCAAAGTATAAGGGACACCCTGAACATGCGTATCAATATGATACGATCTTCTCAAATTTCATTATGATTTTAATAATTCCATATTATTGTCGATGGTGTCATTCGATAGTATAATTTTAATGCAACTTTGCATGTTCATCTGTCAAGATATCGATCTGTCCTGTTATATTATTGCATTTGAGTATTCAACCAGCGAATTTTCTGTAGTAGATAATATAACAAGGGAGTTTATTACTTATTCTCACTTATAATCCCCCTAGCAGCAGAATTATTACCGAAAATTTCTTTCAAGGCCACTAATGCTTTTGTTAATAGAAAATTATCCAGAGTCGAAACAAAAACATGAGGGATACCGAGAAAGAATATGAAAAATTAATTCTTCTGCGTGGGAGATTCGGTGAGAAAATTTCATAAATAGGAGTTGCTTTTAATATGATGAGAAGATGAACCCTAAGAACTATTCTGTGTGATTGTCAAATGGAATGTGACAGTTAGGTATGACTTGTTTTTATTAATGAAATGTGAGAAACAATAAATATCAAATTTTTTATCTGAAATCCAATGTCTTCAAAGTTTTAAATTCGAATGAAACTTGAACAAACATATTTCCGATGAGTTAAGTTGAATGTGACGCACTATATTCTCACTATAGAAGTTGATTTTGCTTGTTAGTAACTAACGTTTATTACTAACATTTCAGGAACTTTAGAAACATCAATTCATTTTCAACCATAACATCTGATATTACAATGTCTACATAGTTTCAAATGAACCTAAAAAAAACATTAGTTAAATATGACGCACGTTATTTCTACATCAGAAATTGATTTTACTTCTTAGTAACTGAGGTTTATCACTAAAATTTCAGGAACGTTGAAACATCAATTCGTTTTCAACCATAACATCTGATATTGCATGTCTACATAGTTCCAAATGGAACTTGAAAAACATATTTCCGATGAATTAAGTTGAATATGACACACTATATTTTCACAGAAGTTTATTTTTCTTTATTTTTCTTGTTAGTACCTAAGGTTTATTACTAAAATTTTAGGAACATTAAAAACATTAATTCGTTTGAAATCATAACATCTGATATAACATGTCTAGTTTCAACCGGAACTGAGTGACTTTTGCCAATAGATACAAGGCGCTTCATTTCTGACAGAACGATTATCACTCGATTTAAATTATCGAGGTAGTCACCCGTTGCTATAAGCAGCGTAACAAAAAGAAGCCTTCTAATTGGTAGAAAATGAATTTATGAAATATTCTCTATAATTTGACTTATTTCGTACATGTTATTTGTTTGACAGAACACAGTTGTTTTGAACTTTATGTCCCCCGCTTGGAAATAAAAGAACCTACTTTGGTCAATGTAAAAGTCCAAGTACACTCTTCCAGTGGTTCTATACAGTCTGCCCATAATCAAGATCCTATTCAAATGTATGCGAATGAAGTCATCAAGACATTCATAGATACAGACAGAGGAACGTATAAACCCGGAGACAAAGTCAGATTCAGGGTACTGGTACTCAACGACAGACTCCTTCCAATCAGCACAAAGGTTTGTAGTAATTTCTTGTACGATTGATGCATTAAGAAGAATTCATATAGATCAAGATTCTTTAATATTATATGCACAGTGAGGTACATTTCAATCTGTCATGAAGTTTTCAGATAAACAAATAACTTTCCGTTCACTTTAGATAAGCACCCAGTACATGGGCGTCGCTATTGCAGGCAGGGGTATCCGCAGAAACAATTTCAGGGAGGTAGGGCAAGTCACAATAATAATGTACAGTAGGTATTTATTTAGTGCGGGTGTTAATTTCATTTCATTAATTTGTCATAAGTATGAATCGAAGAAACCATCGAATTACAGGATGTTTTCATTAATTAATCTTGAATTTATCATTTTCATCTTAGGCCTCCCTTTCCGGCCTATTTTGCATCCACATCTTCTTGGCTCGCAAATCAGCCATGTAGAAGGCCGATTTCGCTACCAAAAGATACCATCTTCCTAGGCCAAATCTCTTTAATATCCTCTGGGGTCAGGTTAGGGCATTCAGTTAGGATGTGAGTAGAAGTCTCTTCATCCTCTAAACGCCATCTGCATTCAGGATCCTCCACAATCTCGATCGTGCTGAGATGCTTGTTTAAGTGGCAGTGCACTGTCAGAAGGCCCACCACCAGTTTCAACTCTTGGAGTTTGGACTGCCTCATTCTTAGGAGCCTCTCTTCAGCTGTTCTGAAACCATTTAACCAGAAATCGTATATTTATAATGACTGTAATGAAACGGGGACATTATTACTCTTGCATCTACGTCATTTCATACTATTTCACCTATCTGGTATATAATTATGATTATTTTTTCAATGGTGATCATACAAAGAATTCACAAAATGCTCATTGCAAACTAATGCACGTTTATTAACGCAGCAGGATGATGAAATTCGAAGGAATTACAACAACTGAAGAGTCCATACTTGCTAGCCTCAATTTGCAGTGATTGATGATTGTCCACACTGTCCGATCCATCACAAAAGCCACTTCACGAAAACTAGGATTCTTGTTCCGTGCGAAAATCAACTTTACAGCTCAACAGTTTCTCATGATCTACAAAGCACGACACATTCGGCCAGTTTCAGAATACTGCTCTCATGTATAGGGTTCAACACCCAAAAATATGCTGATGCTCTTAGATTCCATCCAGAGATGAGCCATTCGCCTGGTGGGTGATGCCACACTCGCCAACTCTTTGATCCCATTAGATCACCGTAGAAAAGTCGCCAATTTTTTTCTTTTCTCTAGATACTTCCACGGGGAATGTTACGTTAAAAAGTTTAAGTAGTTTTGAATCATAATGTAAGTCCATATTCCATATCACGAAATTTCGACTTGTCTCTAGTTGATTGGAAGTTACTGCTTGAAACATTGAATCATCAACGTTGATCGGAGATTTTGAAATATTCTCATTGGCTGAATGTTGATCTTAAATTACTTTGACCACAAAAAAGACAGTTTTCGGAACTTGTGAATTCTGAAGGTCAAGACAGGTACTTGATTTTCTCTAAATTGAAATCATAATTGAAATTAGTCTTTCAACAAATAAGGCTGAAATTGAAGAATGAAAATTCGAATCAGGAAACATTGCATATCGACATAGATAACCAGATTTCAACATCCCGCACACTCTTAAATTAGTGTCATCGTCTTTGTATGAAAGATTAGGTATCTATAGATTTGACTGATTTTTTCAGTTGATCATGAAATGCATTTCAACTTGACAAAACAAAATCAATCTGGTGTATATTTTGGCTGCGATAAAATCATGTAGTTTATTTCCTGATAATATGAACAATTCAAATATCCCCCCACCCTCGAAATTCTTTTGGTGACGCCCATGACTGATACATACAACTTAATGTAATAAAAATGTTGCGGTATACAATTGAAAATAGTCAGGGCATTCGAAAATAACTTTTCATCATTCAGATAACTTTCCTCCTCAGATTGAAAAAATACAAATAATCAATCCTCTGGATGTAACTGTGGCTCAATGGGAAGATGTCATTCTTGAGAATGGTCTAGTCAGCTTGGTTTACGAAATGGTCTCGGAAAGTTTAGTGGTAAGTTTAATTATCATACCTGATAAGAAAATGGATTGCTCTGTTGCATAACGAAATAACTGAAATGTCTTTTGTACCGTGCCAAAGCCTACTAAGCCGTTGTCATAACAGCATCCACTGACTGCAATAATTCTTCTGAACTTTCAGGGAAAATGGAAAATAGAAACTCTCGGGGAATTGAAAAGTTTTGAAGTCTCTAAGTATACTCTCCCCCGTTATAAGATATATCTATTTCATCCAGAAATGATTTACTACAAAGAACCATCTTTCATAGTGAACGTTTGTGCAGAATATTCCTATGGGAAAAAAGTAGAGGGCTTGGCATTTATCAAGATATTTGATTCCCATGGTAAATTGCATCCTATCCATAAACTCAAAGAGGTGTGTATTCGTAGGATTTTAAACCATAAAGATCCAACATAATCATTGATTCGTTTCAGATGCAGAATGGTTGCAGTGAATTCTTGATAACAAACGAGGAACTAGAATTGTATAAAATCAAAGAAAAACTATCATCAGATAATCAAGGAATCGTTCTCCATATAACAGCAACTGTGAATGAAAGAGGGACGAACAGAATAGAACTGACAACCGCAAAAATCTCGTTGAATAATGAAGCCTACACAATGAAATTCAAAAGTGACTCAATGTTCTTACCTGGTCTTCCATACAACGGGAAACTGGAATTTCATAACATAAACGTTGCTTTGGAAAAAGAAGTAGTGGAAATTTGTTATACCTTAGCTATAAAAAAAAGCTGGAACTACACCAATGATGAAGTTTGCTCAAATTTCACTATAGGAAATAAAACCGTTTTAACCTTCAATGTGTTACCGATGAAGAATGATGTGATCCACATGAATTTCAATGTTGGTAAATATTCTATCGTTAATGACATCCGATAATGAATATAAACTTTTAGGCCAGATCCTTGAATCATTCCAATATTGAAGATAGTTTCCTAGCGATGCGTCTCTACTCAGCAAGCAACATTCATATTCATATACAACGGAATGTTTTGGAAAAAGCTAAAAATGAATGTAGAGCTTCTCAACAGTTTGAAATCACTCTCACCACGAACTCTTTCAGGAATAATGAGAATATTACATTATATTACTTGGTAAGGTATATAACCTGAACATTCGAAGGTATAATATGCATTAAACAACTTCTTGCCTTGCAATCATATTCTAATTGTAAGAGCTGATAATCAAATTCCATTAATTCAAAGAGCTCATGTTTGATACTCCAAAGATTCAGTGCAGGAGCATCAGTGGCGTAATTAAGATTCATCCCTGGGGGAAGGGGGTCTAGGTCCAATATCCAATATTTAGGAAGGAATACATATTCCTTAAACTGTGACATAACTCACGTTGGATTCAATAAATGTGTGCATTATTTGGTAACAATAACAATATAACGAAAAAAATATTGTAAACCAAATCAAATATTATCATATCTTTGTCACTCGAAATTAGGGCTTTTCATCATCTTGATAATTATATGTATCTTTTCGGTCGAATAACTGACAAAAATTATCGCTCACTTCTATTAGTGTGCTTGCGGACATTTCCGTACCTACACATGAAGAAACAATGCCAGAGGACGAACGGGAAAAAATGGAGACTGTATAGTACCATCTTGTCAGCGATGCTTCATATAGTGCATGATTTCGAGTGACTTTTGGATTTGGAGGGATTCAGCCGCCTGCTGTGTGATGAGAACTCGACCTTCCTGCCGATTTATCGACGGATGTCCCGTGAGCTCAATTGGCAGAGCGTTGGGCATGAAACCCAAAGGTTGTCAGTTCGACTGAAGATGCTAACATAGTTAGCGAAACACGTGTCGAGGAGTTTAAAAAATCGGTTTGGTCAGTGGTAAAACAGTGTAGTGTAACCTCCAGAAATTTAAGGAGAACACCAATTCCTACCTTATTTCCCTTGGTTCTCACGATGTTCTCGGAACATTACAGGATATCCCTTTTCGTGGGAACCAGAATAAAGAAATAAAACAAAATGCTGCTTTGAAATTTGGAAAGATTCCATTATTTCCGGAGATATCCGGAAAAAAGGAAAATATGCAAAATCGTTTTCATTTATTACTCAGTTTATTTGAAAAGATATTTTGAAATGAATCATCATCATTGCCACTTTTTCTCCTCTCAAAATGGAATTATCAAATTGGAAATCCGAGGTATCTTCTTCGAGCTGCCATCATCACCAGCCACATTTTAGGTTTGAAAAGTAAATTATCGAGTGCTCTATTTTTACTTCGACAACTTAAACCTATAACTAATTCCACCACATTGAAAATAGTTTTTTGCTCACTAATTCAATCTCATATTTCTTATGGTATTCTACTATGGGGAAATTCTAGTGATGTCCAATGTATTTTCATATCACAAAAAAACGCTCTGAGAATTCTTGTTGGAATTGGTTACAGAGATTCGTGTCGTGATTCATTCATAAATCACAAAATGATGTCAGTACCTTCAATGTATATTTATACGAGTATAGTAGAGATTCACAAAAAAGCTCCCCTGCTTACTAAGCAATCCAGTTTGCATAATCAACAATACACGCAACAGTGATCTTATTAGACCTCAACGTTACAAACTCAGCAAATCACAAAAAAATTCTCATGATCTCAGATTATATAATGCTCTTCCTGCCAATATAAAAACTATGAATATGTTTTTTTTCAAGAGAGTTATGAAAGATTATTTTGAAAAAAATTGCTTTTACTCGATTGCAGAATATCTGGCTCACGTTAGTGGCCACAATTTTGATACAAGGAACACACTTGCCGAACATCCACTCTTGAGGGAAACGTAAATGTGTATTTTGTTTTTATTTTTGATTGTATATTATTCGTCTCTGTATATTTTTTGTCTTTTATTGTAAATTATCACATTCATCACAAAATACATTCTTTTCACAAAAATGGAATCATTTAGGACTTGCTACAAATGTATGAATGTACATCAAGTAGTCAATAAAACTCTACTCTACTCTACTCTACACCTTTATTCCATAGAATACGGACCTGGATTTCTCATTACATGTTTCGTTAGTTTTCCATCTCCTTGATATGATAGATCATGAAAAAATCATGGAATGTCTACTCCAGTGAAACAATTTTTTGAAAATGATATGGAGATACTCATCTTTGTCTAACACAGCGTTTTTGGTATTATTTGTCTTTGTCTAACACATTATTCAGTGCGAGGTACTTCCTACATAATTGAATTGCTCTCATTCAAAATAATGTATTATTAGTGATTCCAAACCAAAAATGGAAATCAAGCAATTGTTTGTGATTCAAAGAAATGATATTTATGAATGAGGAGAACACAATTTTATCAAACAAATAATAATAATATCCAATATTGAAGAGATTGCGAAGTTTGCTCACAGTGTGAATGCTCAAAAATATGTCCGTTTACGTTTGAGCATTTATTTGCTTTTTCTAAAACCGCCACTTGATTTTTTCTGTGGGGCGCCATGAAGAACACCGTTTTCAAAAATGGCTCCATTTGCTCCATAGAAGAACTGCTGCAGCAAATAATCACCGCTTTTCGATCTTTACGAAGGCGATCTGTTGAAAGGTCTGTGGGAAAAGTTTTAGTGTAAGTAAATGAATGCTCAAACGCAAACGGAAATAGTTTTGAGCATTGACTACGATAGAAAACTGAGAATATTGGGTTCGTGTTTTCCAAATATAGCCCAGATTGTTGCTAGGACTCTGATTCACTTCATGAATGAAACAGAATAGTAAGTTTCATATTTACAGGTCAAGAGTTCTTCCCATATCTACAAGATGAGGAAGATCAAGCACCAAGTGAAGAAACAAAGTACAGAGTACATAAGTGATTTGAAAAATATCATAAATGATACTAATGTGTACTCGATGGTATCCATATATGATAAAATTGTTATCAAATTCAAACTCGATAAAAAGATCATTTCCAATTACCAACTACTGGTTTATTATGTTACCAAGACCGGTGAAACAATTGCTGCTACCAAAAGTGTTGATGTCGATCCTTGCTTGATGAAAGTAGGTTATATGAGAGATGTATAGAAATTTTACTGGTGCGCTTACTCCCTATTGAAGGTAGTTTGCAAGTTTCTCGATGGCGCCTACTCTGATAAACTTTAGATAAACATACTTGACGTGGGTAAATCTCGCTGAGCTCATCCTGGTTACAATCCATATTTACAGGAAACATATTACCGACCGATAAATATTTGGATACGTATATGATTTGGATCAGAGCAGTGAACTGATTTCTGATCAAAGGATCGAAACGTCAATATGTCAAAAATATTTTTAACATGCTAGTTTGAATACACGTATTGAGAAAGTACGTTTAAGAGTAAGTTCAAGGTATTTTCTGAAAAAATCCCTAGAGGTATCTTTTGATTCTTTTACTGAGAAAATCAACAGATCAATGAAAATATCTTCCGATTTGAATTGAATTCTTGGTGCATTCGCAACTAGTACCTATATGATTAGTTGTTAGTTGAATTCGTACTTACTTTTGGTACAGGAAACATACGGAGTTGCGGATTTTTATACGATCCGCATATATTGCAGCAACGCCAGTCCATGATGAAATATAAAAACTAAACACTATAAACCAAACAAACAACAAACCTACTGAACAACAATTGAAGAATTGAACACTAATGAACAACAATTACAATTACAGGATAAAAACACTCAACACTTTATATCTCGTACGAATTTTCCGAATTTTCGAATCTAAATCGCTGAATACGAATTGACAGATATCACTGACGGAATTCGACCACAGAACAATGATGGAAATAGATTCATCCCTCACAGAACTAAGGTTTTGAACGATTATGGCGCCTCTATCGTCAAACACCTGAACCCCACGTCCAAAACTCGCTTGCAATTGTTCCATATCGAGAGTTAGTCTGACGATACAATTGAAGAGTGAGCCCACTAGTTAAATTTCTATACATCTCTGTTATATGACTATCTAAAAATCAAGTTACTAGAATTCATTTAGATCTCATGTAGGTTGAAGCCAAATGGACTCAAAATAGAATCGTACCAGGTTCAACTGCTGATCTGAACATTGAAACTGGAGTTCCAGCATTGTGTTCAGTTTCATCAATAGATAAGTCTTCCAAGTTTTTGTCCTCGCATCATCGAATGATCGATAAATCTAGTCTATTGAAAGCTTTCATTTGGAAAAATAGAGAAACAGCACCATCATCAAGAAGAACTTGTTTAACACCAGAGAAAAAGAAACCCAAAGGTACGCGAAGAGTTATTCATTTGGTATAATCCAAAAATATACTTTTTTCAGCTGTTCCTCAATTTTTTGCATCGGGATTGACACAAGAGGAATATAGGGAAAAGCGACATACATACTCGTTTTCAGAAGATTTTGACGCCCACGACGTTTTGAAGGTGAGCATAATAGATGAGTAATTATCAAAATTTATGAATATAGGTTCCAGAGTTTCGGATCTGTGGTCATAACCAACACGAAAATCGTAACCAAGGCATGTTATACAGGTCAGTCTATTTTTTATTCATTATGAATTGTTCTCCCTAGCTCCTGTTTTTCATTTTTCCAGGTCCAAAAATAGAACAACCTAATCAAGGTTTGTATAGTATCTTATGAGATATTTGTACCAGAATTAACTACAATCAAATACTTTTCAGTCCAGTTCATGATCGATCAGTATGAACCACCATCTGAATCCCAAGCTGTTTCAGTAAGATCTAATTTTCCTGAAACATGGCTTTGGGAATTAGTACCAGTTAGGTAGACATCACACATTCTGAAATAATTATGTTTGCTAATACATTTTCAAATCCACAGTGGATTGGTGCAATTGAAGAGGCATTTGCCTCATGCAATAACTAGTTGGGTAACGAACGTATTGTGTATCTCAGATGTAGCTGGCATAGGTATAGCAAATGAAACTGAAATCACCAGTTTCCAATCGTTTTTTGTTGAAATTCTTGCCCCATACACAGTGAAACAAGAAGAAACTTTCTATTTGTATGTGCATATTTCCAACTACTGGAGTCATCAATTTCCGGTGAGTAATGAGGTTTGTTCGCGTTCTATCGGTTTTTAGACTGCGCAGAATCAGGTGCGCATCAAATTCAATTCGAGATGAGTATGGGACAGTTTGGAAAGCAGATAAACGAAGACGTACTTCCTCTGATTCTTCCTGTTTGAACATAAAATGGCGATGGTGATATGTTGAAGTTATTATTCACGAGAGTCATGAACAGTGCTTTGAACCGATTAAAAACTGTCCCAAACTAGTTCGTTTGAATCGAAAGCACAAACACTGTGGAATACGAAACCATCCTGGAATATTCGAACACTTTTGTGACACTGCTGCGTATACTTCTGATGGTTTCGGACTGTCGATTTTGTGAACTCGAACAAACCTATAGAGAGTCAGTTCGACTGAAAACTGTTGTAAATTTCATTTTCTGATGCCAGATTAGGATATCACTTCATTTGTCCACCGGTTTGGTACTGAGCAACAAAGATGACAAACTGGCTGTGTCCTTCTGTTTACCAGAAAATAGTACTGCGAGCCAAAAATTCCAGCTGAAAGCAACTGTTATTGGGACCGTTAATATCAGCGTTATTGCCAAAACAGATCGACACTATCCCCTCACCTGTGGACCGGAAACTATCATATCGAGAAGGTTCGCTATTACATTAGAATAAATTCTTCGTTTGAAAAAACTAATATTCTTCTAGGGATACCGTGCTGAAATCGATTATAGTTGAACCAGAAGGGTACCAGATGAAGGAAACCAAATCTGCATTACTATGCTCATTGGAGGGCACCAACTCGACGAACATTTCATGGAATATTCAGGTACCACAGGATATTGTTCCTGATACCTACAAATCACATCTGAGTTTGAATGGAGATCTATTAGGAAAACCACTGGAGGTAAGAATATGTTGGAAGTATATTTTTTTTCATTTTGATGAGATCGGCTATTGAATCAGACACTGACCAGATTAATCTTCATGAGATTTGAAATCTAGAATCGAATCTGTTGACGTCATGAAATATATGATAGAACTTTTATCCCTTCCAGAATCTGGGAGATCTTCTTGACGTGCCAATGGGCTGTGGGGAACAAATCATGGCTTCAGTGGCACCTAATTTATATATCTTGAGGTATTTGAACTCTACCAATATCTTGAAGAAGTCAACCCACCAGAGAATATTGCGAAACCTCAAAATAGGTACCTACTATATCTGTTATCATGACGGAACTTTGAAGATAGTGAAATTGTTGCAGGTTATCAAAAAATTCTGAATTACGTTCACAAAGATGGTTCATTCTCGGCATTCGGTTACCACGATCCCATGGGTTCGATGTTTCTAACCACTTTCGTCGTAAAAATTCTACAAGAAGCCAAAATGTATATTTATGTCAATCAGAGGGTTATCGATAGGGCTGTCATCTGGATTTTCGAAAACCAACTCGAGAATGGATGTTTCAATACGATGTTACATGTTTTTCAAGATATGGTATTACCTTCTGAATATTTCGTTTTTCTTTCCATATTTCTTATTTTTTTTGAGGGTGGTACTAGTCGAGAAAACAGTACAGCTGGATTGACGTCATACGTTATTCTTAGTCTCTTAGAATCAAATATAGAAGTTCCCGAACTTGTCATAACCAATGCCAAGTATTGTTTGAGGGGTCAACATAATCCAGATAAATATAGCATGGCCATCACTTGCTACGCCATGTTCAAGATGGAATGGTACCATGAAGCAAACAAAGTACTCGACAAACTCATAGCTGTCGCTGATCAGCAGCACAATATGATGTGGTGGTCCATTAAGAGTAAGACTCATAACATTAGTAGGAGAACGTGATTTTTACAAAGAATAATCATTTCAGGAAACACTTCTACAGCATCCGATATCGAAACTACAAGCTATGTATTACTCTCTCTCCTATATCAGAATACATCAGAAAATCTGGCTAGGGCACTATCTGTGGTGAAATGGTTATCGTCCAAAATAGAAGCTAAGGGAAGTTTCAAATCGACACAGGTGAATTGAAATATTATATCTTCTCCATTCAGTACCACATACATCAGTTAGATCCATTCCCACCACTCTCCAAAGACAACGGCACATTAGCAACAACATCGCAAGAGAAAGCAAACATTTTCGCAGATATGGTCGCAGCAAACTCCACCTGGACTCCGAGGAAAGGGTCTGCCAGACATTTCACCCGTTGGGAGCCACAAATGCCCGAAATTGTCTTTCGTCAACGCTCTATCAGACGCATTCTGCTCGGCCTCAAATCGAATAAGTCCTGATGAAATTCCACCCATTATTCTCAAAAAGTGTGCACCAGAATTGACACCGATTCTCTGCAAGCTATTCATCATTTCCTACAAGTCGGGTATTTTTCCATGTTGTTGGAAAATTGATAGAGTCAAAGCAATCTCCAAAAAAGGAAACAAGAGCGACGAAGAGAGACCAACGCTGTCAATAGAGATTTTGCGGAAATTACAGCATGGGGAGCCAACAACCTATAGTTGAATTTAATGCCACCAAAACGCAAGTTTGTTTCTTCTCTAGAAGGGCGGAAGTCAATATGCCATCAGCAATACAATTCATTAGAGAATCCTGTTCGATCAATCGCAAAAGGTGCTTGACAAGGAATCGGTTTCTTGTTCCGTGCAAAAATCTACTTCACACCAAAACAGCTTCTCATGATCTACAAAGCACATATACGGCCAGTTCCAGAATACTATTTTCATGTATGGGGTTCAGCACCCAAACACACGCTGATGGTCTTAGATTCCATCCAGAGAAGAACCATTCGCATGGTGGGTGATGACACCTTCACCAACTCTTTGACCATATTTTCTATAGATACTCCCACGGGAAATGTTCCTCAAAAATCTCTGCTTCTATTCCATCACTAGCAATACCAGTCAGACAAACTCGACAAGCTCAGTAAGCACATCCCGCCATCGTTAACCTTGAAAAATGTCGAATAACACTCTACCAACAGGCGAAGCTTTGGAATTCCTTGCCATTGGAAGTATTCTCAAGAACTTTTAACCTCCAAAATTTTTTTCACCTCCAACACTTACCTCTTCTCCCAGTCCTTCGTAAGTGAGCGCGATGTTCCACGAACATTATAGGGATTTCTTTTCGTGTGCTTCAAAAAATAAAAACAAGAAATATTAGGTTCAAGAAACCCTTGTCCCTTGTGTGTTCGCTTCAAATGAATGCATGCCATATTTGCTGAATTCAAGATTTCATTATTTTTAGGATACAGTTGTAGCTTTAGATGCACTATCAAGGTACTCGCGATTGATACAAACAAACAACCTGAACATGAGGATACATATTGAGACTGAGTATGGTGAACAAAATCTTACAATTACGAATAGCGATAGCTTGAAGTCCAAAAGAATCACCCTGAAACCCACAACTGGTGAACTTGATGTGAATGTTTATGGAAATGGTTGTGTACTAGTTCAGGTAAATCAATTCGAACTGGAATCTCCCACACGTTATTTCGATGTTCCTTCATCAGATCACCCAATCGTATTACCTTCGTCAAATTGCGAGAAGTGAAGCCTTCAAACTAGCTGTAGATGTTTCCCCTGTTTCTACAATAGATCAGTGCTCTGTCACTAGTTTATCTCCCTGCTTGGCTTACACAGGGCCAGATAAAGTATCCAACATGGCTGTTATGGAAATTTCATTGCCCAGTGGCTATCAAGCAGATAGAGCTTCTTTATACAGTTTGGTGAATCCAGATACACTATCAGGTAGAATGAAAATGATCCATTTCCTGTGGAAGCCGGTCTAACTTTCTCGATTGTTTCAGGAATCAAGATGTTCGAAGAAGATATCGACAAAGTCAATTTATATTTCACGAAGCTGGACAAGAAACTGCTCTGTTTTTCGTTCAATATTAATGAGAACTACGAAGTGAATGATAGAAAAGAATCGTTGGTGAAACTATATGATTACTATAATCCGGAAAATCAAATTAAACAAATGTATGCGATGGTCAATAATTGCAGCTATGGAAATATCTCTCAAATACCTGATATATCGAGTTTGTATAATTATTAATCAGCTCTAACCCGAAAGTCTGACTCATTTATGATTTCAGAAATCCTGGCTAGATAGATTCCTGATCTGAACTCAGTATTGAAGCCACCACTGATATCGATTCAGCACAAAACTTCACTGTGAGAATAGGATTGTATCAACAAGTTGGTTTGAAAATTGGAATAATCAGGATTCAACGTGATGAATAAATCATCGAACAACTTAGAAGTCGATTTTTTGTAGCTAATGATATTCAAAACAGAACATACATATGTTTTCAATTCTGATATTTCTGATCAGCAACAAATAACTATGGAACAAAATACTGATGCTACTACGAAATATCAGGAACCATTCCTCGTGTCAGCCAATCTGAAAATAGTATCGATTACCAATTTACGCAAATACTATTTGAATTAATTTGAATCCTGCGGAACAATGAATACTGAAAACGATAAAATCATGCGATCTTGACAAGGTAGCAATTCTACACAGCCTGAAATTTATGACGAGTTGCTATAGTCAATTTGAGATAATTTCGTACATTGCAGCCAGTTCGAGAGGGCAGTTAGTCGAAATGGAATTGAAGTGAAACTACCTATATAGTGTCGTATACAGATTGTTTATCGAATAGTCAAATAATATGGGAGTATTAAGAAAGGAAGGCATCTGGCAACATCGCAGTCACGGAGAGTGTTAGCATCTAGCAACTAGATGCGCCACTGCTCAGTGGAATGTGCTTAGATCAGAGCCTATGACAGACGTGTGTAAAGACTGGTTCATATAGTATTCGGCTGATGGCAGCCGAGTGGTGAGCGAGTGTAACCCTTGTCCATGTCATTTGTGCTCGTGTTTGTTATATTATGGTCATAATATAATAAACACGAGCACTGTTAGCATCTAGCAACTAGATGCGCCACTGCTCAGTGGAATGTGCTTAGATCAGAGCCTATGACAGACGTGTGTAAAGACTGGTTCATATAGTATTCGGCTGATGGCAGCCGAGTGGTGAGCGAGTGTAACCCTTGTCCATGTCATTTGTGCTCGTGTTTATTATATTATGACCATAATATAACAGAGAGCAACAACATAATGAATTTTCTGTTTAGATCGCAAAAATGTCTGCAGTCGTTTGGATTTGAACTCACAACCGGCAAGTCATCGCGATTAAAATACTAATGTAAAAACATGTTTTTTTCATTTTATTTCATTTTTATTTTATTTATTTGATAATAGACAGAGTGAAAATCCACCTATTGGAGTATACAAGGTATTTTTGAAATAAGTGCACATGTGATACAGTCTAAGGAGTATTCCCATTATATCAGATTTTTTCTAATCCTTCTAATTAACGAGAAATTTCATCCCAGAAATTGAACAAAATACTAGGAAAAAATCAATTACGCCACTTTGAAACAATTTAAATGATTGAACTCCGTGTGATTGTCCCTACCGCATGGAAATTTGAACAGAGGTGACGTCAGATTTGCTACAGTGTAGAACTGTGGAAAAAGGGGTCTAACCTCAAATTCTATTTTGATCCCTAATTTTTTTTAATAGTGCCATTCGATAGTTCACGTCGAGCTTTCTCATTGTTGAAATATTTGCACTTATTTCAATGCCACCCTGTATAACAATAATAGCGTTTTCCACTCGACGATTTACAGAGCGCACTAGCACAGAGCAAGTACAAGTGCAATGGCTCGGTTATTCCATAAACAGCGATTCCAGCACTCAGCAGTGGAATAGAAATAGAGAGTTGGTGCGAACTTCTTGTCATCAGAAATGTCAGTTTAATTGGTTTGTCAGTCAAAAATTTGAATTATTGAAAGTACATTTGGTTCCGTTCATCCACATGAAATGGATTCATCTACCTCTTATTGTGGTTTCTCTGTGAACACTGCCTGAAACCAGCCAAAACAATTAATGTTCATTGTCAATGATGTTCAATTGAATCATTCGACATTAGTGATGTAGTATTGTAGTGTCGTTCACGAAGTTAGTATCATTCATTTCATTACATCATTCCTGGATCAACAATCAAATACCTATGTTTAATGCCTGCACATCTGAGTAGCTTTCTTTACCTTCTAGGTAATTTTGAATCTTCCGTAAACGCTGTTTCGTAACGAAGTACTTCTGTATCTCCATCATCATTTCTTCATCATCGCTTGTATCCGAAGTATCTATGATTCCGGAAATTATTGAAATTGTAATTATAGGGATGAACTTCAATGCGACATTCATACTTATTCGACTTCCAAACATTTTCCCACTCGTGACTCGAATATTTGAGGTTATGTGTATCGCATCGTCGTACAAGCAGAGTTCTGAAAACTTGAACTCTGAGCAGCCATCGACAGAGGCGGATTTAGGTCCTCTGCCGCCCTAGGCAACCAAAATTTTGCCGCCCTTTTGAACTTTAAATAAGTTTATAAAACGTTTTAATAATGCACAGCGATAATTTTTAAGTGTGCTTAGCTTTATTAATTTTTGTATTTGTTAAACGTAAAAAAAAGTAGGATAAAAAATAATAACGAAAAAAATTGTATTTTCCTAATTATCATTTCGAAAACATACAAATATATGTATTTGCACTTATGAAAATCCACGTCTCGATTTTTTAGTAGCAAATTCATTTATCACGTCTTCGTAATCTAGGGATTTAGACAACTCTGATTCTATACTGAGTACGGCGAGATCATTGAGTCTATCTTCTGTCATTCTTGAACGCAAATAGTTTTTGACACGTCGTAACCAAGAAAAGCTGCGTTCTCCCGAGCAATTTGTTACCGGAACACAAACACACATGCGTAGTGCGATGTCGACGTTAGGATACACGGTCTGTAGATCTTCTTCGTGAAGCCATTTCAACAATTTTAAAGCTGTTTCCGATTTTTCGGGAATTAAGGAGCAGTGTGCACCGAAATGAACACATTCATCAGCAAAGCTTTCTTCTAGATCAAACGGGTATATATTCTGTAAACTGACTGCTTTAACTCGGGTTTCAGTTGGGTTTAATATAGATAAGTTGGTCAGGAAGGCAAATTTATCGTGAAATTTCTGATAAGCATTGCGTCGCTTTTCAAACTCACTTAGAAGATTATCTATTATCATGAAGAAAGTGTTAATTCGTAGATCCTCTCGTCCGTTTAGTTTAATATCTTCAATAGCAGATTCATCGGAACGTATCTTCCTTTTTTTCTGTCTTTTCATATCCTTTTCATACTCTTGTAGCACTGACAAGCTCAATGCCCTTTCCTCGAAGTAGTTGAAGTCTTCGCGAGTATTTTTAAGGAGGATGATCAATGAGTCGTACAGCTGAACAGTTGTGAATATATCTATATCTACACTCTGCAATTTCTTGTTAGTAGCATTTATTCGGCTCAATATAGAGCCCCAGAAAATTGTCATGAAGGCCGTTTCCAATCGCTCAAGCTTGAGTCTAATGCCCTTAGCCTCACACCTGACGATAGCTTTTATGTGTTTGTTGTCTTCAAAGGAACGCAAGGCACGTAAAATATTTTCCCATGATTCGTACAAACTCCGACAAGCATCTGCGCGTGCAGACCAACGAGTCCCTGATAGACTTTTTATAGTAGATGTTTTTCTTTTATCTTCTTCCAACTCACGTGTTAGTTCGATCTCATTCTGAAGAATTTCCCAGCGTTGGGTCGATGAAGTGAAAAAATTATACAGCTCTTGTAAAAGCGCAAAAAACCTGCATGCCTCTTCGCAGCTTTCTGCAGCGGACTCCCCAACCAAATTAAGGGAGTGAGCTGCGCAAGGCACATATTCAGCTTTTGGTGAAAGATTTCTTATTTGTGCCTGCAGACCTGTATAAACACCTGACATATTGGCAGCATTATCGTATGACTGTCCTCGGCAGTTTGCAATGTCGATTCCGAATTTATCCAATGTGCCCGTTACAGCGCCTGCCATCTTCTGCGCTGTGTGACCAGCGTTTGGGATAAATTCGAGGAAGCGCTCAATAGGTGATCCATTTTGCACATATCGGACCACAAACGTTAGTTGGTCGACATGAGATATGTCGGGCGTAGAATCAACAATCATGGAAAAATACTTTGCTGACTTTATCTCAGCAACCATTTTACTTCTAACTTTGTTCGCCATCAGTTGAATGAATTCTTCGTATATAGTAGAAGACAAGTAACTGGTGTAACCACTGCCTCGGTTGCCATACCGAGAAATGTGTTCTGCCAAAAATGGATCAAATTCAGCAATTAGCTCCAAGGACATCAAGTAGTTTCCGTTCCGTTGCGACCCAATCTTCTCATCATGACCTCTGAGAGGTAGACCACGAGAGGTAAGAGCCTTAACTGTGGCCACTACACGTTTCAGCACATTTTTCCAGTAGAGTACTCCCTCTTCCAATTGAACCGTCAGTTTTCGGTCTATCCGACCACAAATATCCCCCCTTTTTTTCAAATTCAATAAGCACAACTTATGGCCAGATGAATTTTCGTGGCATGCTACCCTACTTGAACCATTCTTCCAGTCGTTGAATCCTTCTTTGCAACCAAATTGAGACCCACCATTGAATGCAAGACATGGTCCGCAGTATACTCTACCAGTACTCTGAGAGTAAACGAGCCAGTTACGACTGCTTTTTTCACCATTCAGAAGATGACGCTCGAACAGAGATTTTGACAGATAACGTGTTTGGTCGTCGTACACACGCTTGCTGCTGGAGAAATCGACACCCGCGTTTTGTTCAATGCCGTGAATGGACAGATAATCTCGTAAGCGATCATTGATAATCCAATTGGCTGGATCTTTGCTCAGTACGAATTGTTGGTCAGCTAACTTTTGTTGTTCAGGTAGCTCATGTTGCTCTGGTTGTTCACGTAACTTTTGTTGCTCTGGTTGCTCAGGTAAGTTTTGTTGCTCAAGCAACTCTAATTTTTGCACAGATTGCTCAGGTTGATGTTGAGCAATAAGCATTGCTGGAAGAATATTTCCACCTGCAGTAGAAGAAACTGTCAAGACTTCTGAAACTGTACACACACTTGAGTGAGAAGTAGATTCATTTTTCGAAACAGTTTTCTTTTCATTTGATTCAACAAAAAA